CTTCCCCGCAGGGCGCAGGACGGAGACACCTTGCTTTTCTGGGTGACTTTGGGCGAACCCCGTGCCTCTCTGCGCGTGCGTCTTCCCATCTGTAGCGTTTGCAGCCCGAGCAAGCGAATTCCTAAGGGGTAGTAGGGCCTGGGGCTGCGCGCCGGCGATCCCAGCACTTGGGCGACCGAGGCAGGAGGATTGTGTGGTTGAGGTCGGCTTGTGCTACGAAAACGTAAACTAAAGAGCAGGCCTGTGGGATTTGCAAGCTCACCACCTGGTTAAGGACTGCCAGGCAGTTCCTAGTTTTAATGCCCTGTTTCCTTCGTAGACGTACGTGTCTGTGGCACGCGGGTGGAGGACTGAGCCCGGCCCCCCTCTCGCCTGGCCATTCACCTCCACGGCTGTGAAGGGGCGGCGGGATGGACAGGTTCTTGGTGAAGCCTGATCAGGACGACCTCCGAGGGGAAAGGGAGGAGCCAGCCCCGCCGGGAGGAGCCTCGGGCGGCCAGCCGAGCCTCAACTGGCGGCACCTTCGCGGGCAAGGTCTGGATTGTGATTACACTGTCCTGTTTGGCAAAGCCGAGGCAGACGAGATCTTCCTAGAGTTGGAGCAACAAGTGGAGTACTTTACCGGTAAGCGGAGGACTTTAGGTGTTAGGCTTCGGTGATGAAAGAATGCGCCTCTGTTAGGAGAAGCGTGAACTCAGGCTGTGACAGGGTCTAGAGCGAAATTACCTGGCTACTGATTGGAATTGCCTGGGAAGTTAAAAAACAAAAACAAAAAGCAAAAAACAAACCCCAAACCATTCTGGGTTCTCTGTGATACCGAGTCAGAATGGCTGGAGGTACAGCTGTCTTCCAGGCCAGTGGTAGAGTGTTTCTGTAGCATGCACACAACCCCAGGTTAGACCCCAGCACTATCAAAACGAACAAACACACTCATGTGCAGCCAAGTTAGTTTCTCATTGAAGGGTGGGTGGTTTAGCCGGATGCCTGATGCCTCTCAGAACTCACTGACTGTTGCAGTCTTGTGTCTGGAGAGTTTGCAGGTGGTGCTGATGCTGTTGCCTGGAGACCACATATTGAGAAGCAGTGATGAGCACACAGGCTCTGTACCAGCCTCAGCTGCAATAGGCCCCATCATGCATACACAAAACCATCCAGCCACGACTCGACCTCACCATGCTCAGAGCTGCCTCTTTATGCTACGACTTCAGTTAAGGCAATGAACATTCAGTTTTAAAAACCGGAGCCAGGGTATGGTGGTGTGTACCTGTAATTTCAGAACTTGGGAGATGGAGGTAGGAGGAGCCAGAGTTCAAGGCCATCCTCAGCTAAATGGAGAGTTCAAGGCCAGCCTGGGCTGCATGAGACCCTGCCTTTAAAGGCCATAAATAAATAAATATATGAGGAGTTGGAAGATGACTCAACCACTAGCTGCTCTCCCAGAGGACCCAGGTTGGATTCACAGCACCCACATGGCAGCCCACAACCCTCTGGAACTCCAATCCTAGGCACTTCCAGCCTTGGAGGAACCAGACATATACAAGGTGCACAGACATTACATGCGGGCAAAATAAAATAAAATACATACAAGTTTTTTGTTTTGTTTTGAGACAGGATCTCACTGTAGCCCTGGCTGTGCAAGAACTCACCCCGTAGCCCAGGCTGGCCTTGAACTCACAGAGAACTCGCCTGCCTCTGTCTCCCAAGTGCTGGGATTAAAGGCACATGCCACCACCGCCCCACTACATAACAGTATTTTTAAAAAGAAAGGAAAGAGGAGAAAGATGGGCCTCAGCTGCTCATAGACAAAGTCATCTGTGGTTTGTTGGTTTCTGTTTTTTAATTCTTCATTTTCATGTGTGTATGTGACATTTTTGGTAATTTTGACACACTACCCATTCTTCCAGCCCCACTACCGTAGACCCCTCCTTCCCAAGGCCCTGACATGCTTTCATGTCATTTTGGTTTTGTGGCATGTGTGTCTGTGTTTTGTGTGTCTGTGCACATGACGAAGCCAGGGAGCCCTGCCCAATGTGTCCTGAGTACACTCATTTGCACCCCCCCCCCCCCCCCCGTTGTATAATGCCCAGCTGGGGACCCCCTCATTGTTTGAGATAGGGTCTCTTGCAGGGTCTGGAACTTGCAGCTCCCAGCAGTGGGATCTGAAGTGACGGACACTTCACCGGCTGATCCACCTCTCCAACCCTTTGGTTTTTTGAGACACACTAGCCTTGAACTTGTGCTGTGCCTCCTTCAGCGCCAGAGTGATGAGATTACAGGGGTGCGCCGTCATACCCTTCCATGAAAATGAGAACAAGCCACGGTGGCGTAGGGGAAGAGGTCCCCAACAGGGCACTCATTATACAACACGAGGAACAGAGGAAATGCCATTTCACAGTGTCCTCCCTGTTGAATACCCAGCAAATGCGTGTGTAGGACTCGTCTGTCCACGTCCCTGGAGGGCCGGGATGGAGCTGCCATCTCATCTGCACAGGTGCTCTGGCCAAGGTCCAGGTGTTTGGGAAGTGGCACAGCGTTCCCAGGAAGCAGGCGACCTACGGAGACGCTGGGCTGACATACACGTTTTCCGGTCTCACGCTGACACCGAAGCCCTGGATCCCAGTTCTAGAGCGTGTTCGAGAGCGAATCTGCAGGGCGACAGGACAGACCTTTAACTTTGTGCTCATTAACAGGTAACATTTCCTCCATGGGGAGGAGCTCAGGACTCCGTCATGCGCTGTTTACTTGTGTACTGGACGAGGGCTGAGGGCTTTCTGGGACCGGGGGATGGGGCTGCTGCTCTTGCAGAGAACCCAAATTCAGTTTCCAGCACCAGTAAATGCAGCTCCAGCAGATCCAATACCTCTGGCCTCCCTGAGTATTTGAACTCCCATGCATGGAACCACACACAGAATTAGGAATTTTTTTTTGTTTTGTTTTGTTTTTTTTGTTTTTTGAGACAGGGTTTCTCTGTGTAGTTTTGGTGCCTGTCCTGGATCTCACTCTGTAGACCAGGCTGGCCTCGAACTCACAGAGATCCGCCTGCCTCTGCCTCCCGAGTGCTGGGATTAAAGGTGTGTGCCACCGCCGCCTGGCTAGAGTTATTAATCTTTTTAAAGGTAGGAGTTTCCATGGAGCTCACATGTAGGAGGCTGTGAGGGGTTGGGGGAGGTTATTGGGAAAGTTAAACTGATAGATGGGGCTGAGGGTGGGGCTGGGTTTGGGCCAGGGACTTAGGATGGGTACACCACTGCTGACATTTGGCATCAGGAAGTACCTTTCTTATGGGGTTGACCTGTGCACTAGGATACTCAGCACAGCCCTGGCCTCCACCCTGGAGGTGCCAGGAGCACCCTGCTTCCATGATTACAACCGACAGTGTGTTCTGAGGACAGAACAGCCAGGCTGCGAGGCCTGGGCTAAAGGGAAAGCCATTTGGCATGGGGTGGTTAGAGGGGGAGGCCCTCAAGGCAGTGACATTTGACGTGGAACTAGCTAGAGCTGGAGACACCAATGTCTGGAGTTGAGCCGAGGGAGCGCATGGGGTCCATGGAGTGGACATCCCTTGGTGTGGCTGGGGATCAGGAACTGGGGCCAGACTGCACAGGGTGATGGTTGGTGTGTGTGTAGGAGGAACAGGGCAGGCTATCCATACGTGGACCCGGCGACTGGAAGGCGTGGCTAGTTGATGTGATGTGTGAGGTCTGCAGGCATCACAAGTAACTAAGTGTCCTCGTCAGTGTCCTGTTGCTGTGAGGAGACACCATGCCCAAAGCAACGCTGTAAAAGAAAGCATCTCCTTGAGGCTTGCTCACTGCTTTAGGGAGTTGGTCCATGCTCACCGTGGTGGGCAGCAGACAGGTGTGGCACTGGAGCAGTAGCCGGGAGCTGGATGTTCTGATCTGCAGGCAGCAGGCGGAGAGGGACAGACACAGGGCTTGGTGTGAGCTTTTCAAACTTCACAGCCCACCCACCATGACACACCTACACCGATGAGGCCACACCTCCTGGTCAGCCCCCGAGTTCCATGGACTGCGAGCCAAGCATGCAGACCTATGGGCCTCTGGGGGCCTTTCTCATTCAAACCACGGCACTTGGCAGAGACATCCAGGCTGGGTTCACTGGCCTCCCGGGCTAGGGCTGTGCAGAAGCAGCGCTCTGCTTTGGGCTACAAGAGGATGAGGCGCCTGCAGCATCCGCAGGGGACGGAAAGGGTTTCTTCCGCATTGGGATTGTTTTCCCACGACAGGTACAAAGACGGCAGCGACCACATCGGGGAGCACAGGGACGATGAACGAGAGCTGGCCCCCGGGAGTCCCATCGCGTCTGTCTCCTTCGGGGCTTGTAGAGACTTCCTCTTCCGGCACAAAGACTCTCGAGGGAAGAGGCCCCGGCGGACAGTGGAGGTCGTCAGGCTGCAGCTGGCCCACGGGAGCCTACTGATGATGAACCACCCCACGAACGCCCACTGGTACCACAGTCTCCCCATCCGCAAGAAGGTCCTGGCTCCTCGGGTCAATCTGACTTTTCGGAAAATTTTACCTAGTAAAAAATAAAACATGCTTTTTATTATTTTTATTTGTATGTGTGTGCGCCACATATGTGCAGGTGCCCAGGAGGACCAGGAGAGGGTGTTGTGAGGTGAGGTGGTTGTGAGCCGTTTGACACAGATCCTCTGCAAGAACAGCAAGTGTTCCTAACCGCCAAGACATCTGTCCAGCCCCTAAAACCCCGTTCTAATAATCAGCACTTTGTTTTCTCTTTGCTTGAAGAGGGGGTTGGTGTTTTTTTTTACCCACAGAGAACTCAGGAGGTTTATTAAAAACCTAGGGCCCAGCACACAGCACCTAGTTCAGGAGGATGCTAAGTAACATCCACAGTAAAATACCACCACTCAGGCCTGGCGTGACGGCGCATCTTTAATGACAGCCTTAGGAGGCAGAGGCAGGCAGATCTTTCAAAGTTCACAGGCCACTTGCTGTACATAAACCCACAGTCGAGTGTTTCCTAACAAAACCGTCTTTATTGCTATAGCACACAGCAGATACAAAAGTGCCTTTAGCAGATCCACACTCAGCAGCCTACGGCGTAAGTACTAAGCTTAACTTAGGTTTTCCAGGAAGAAGCTACCTACTGTGAATAACTTAAAACTAGAAATCATCATTGGTTGCTATCTAATGTCTAATAATTTACAAAATGAAGAAGTACATTAGCACTTGGTCAGGTTAACACATTTACAACCTTGGCTCAAACCCAGGCTCTGACCAGCATCCCACACCTGTCTTTTTGGTCATCTCTCCGTGGCTGACCTCAGAACGAGTAGCAGGACTGACGATTGGAGCCTACAACTCTGCCAAGTGCTCTAAGATCACACGTGACCGAGCGCCTGTGCGTTCACCTCAACCCAAAAGCCAGGTCTGCAGGGCCCCTGGCCACATCAAATGGTTCAGCTGCTCCTTTTGTGGGAGCTGTGGCTTGGCGGTCCAGCACGGCACAGTCTCAGAGTCTCAAGTCCTCAGGATGCACAGTGAGACCTCATCTCATAGTTGATGCCTAGGCACATCTGGAATGTCTGCCAGCTCACCCCTGCAGAGAAAACACGTCCTTGGCCTTACCCTCAGTGACCTCTGGCTAGGTCTGGTTCCAAATCTTACATCAGAAGAGTCCGTCTGAATTTGGTTTGGTATCGTGTTTTTGTTTTTAAATGACAAACTTGGCATAAACAGAGGTGCTATTGCGCCCTCGAGATTCCTCCATGCCTGGCTATTCGTGAAACTTCTCTGAAAACGGAAGAAATTCCCAGCGCGCCCTGTGCTTACAAGGTCACTGGACACACTCTTAGAACGTGGTCCTAGAGCATAGGGCAGGATGCATTGGCTGCAGTTCTGTTCAAACATCATGCTGTCTTCCTCACCGTGGGCTCTAAGAAGCAAGGCCAGAGAGCCTGCAGCCCTGGCCCATACACTCTTCCGCCCTGCCCAGGCTCTTGCCTGCAGACCCCGTTATGGGAACTAATAACACAAAGCGAGCTGTCTCTCGAAGCAGGATCAGCAGACAGTGTAGACAGCAGAGTTTTGGAAAAGGCTCGGGGTGGGACTGGCCGGTGACCTTGACTACATATAAAGAACTGAAGATTACAAAAGGCATACCCAAAGGTGGGGAGGTGTTCTCCAGGCTTTGGGGGAGGAGACTAGGTTGTATTATGTAGCCCAGGCTGGCCTGGAACTTGCAGTGATCCTCCTGCCCAGCCTCTGAGTGCTGAGATTCCAGGCATGAGCTACCATGCTGTTTAGGCATCCTTAAATGTTCTTTTGACCTCTAAGGAACTTGGAAGGACAAGGGCTTTCCCAACATTGTGCCTGTGACTCTTAGGACATGCCTGTTCCCAGAACAACCAGAAGGGAAAGGCACTTTTTCTTCTGAATTGTTACCTTTAATAATTTCACTAATTAAAAAAAAATAATAATTTCACTAATTCTTGTAATATTTAGGGCCTTCTTATTAAAAATAAAGATCTATGCTGGAATGTCAGAGGACCAGACAAGGCAGTGCCCTCTGAGGACACCTAGCATGTTACAGTACAGAAAGGGTGGCCGCTGGAGTCTGTGTCTTTAATGACCTGTGTCAGATGAGGAGGGTGTTCCAGACCCGATGGAGGCTGTCCTCACACGAGGAACCTTCCAGCACCCCCCGGCAGCGCTGCGCAGACAGGCTCCCGTGTGGAGCCTGCTCTCACAATACACACAAGGCTGAGGGCTCTCGAGGGGCTGCTTGCCCGCGCACACGTGGCATGCCTTCCGTTATCCTGGACGCGGCCCTCACCGCGGGCCCTGGCTGGGCTGCCCGTCACTCCTCGGCCCTGTACTCGCGCCCCTGCTGCTGTACCCTGGACAGAACTCGCTCGTAGAACAGCAGGTAGGCGCTAGAGGACAGGACCTCCTGCAGGCTGGCCTTGCGGACGCTGTCATCGGAGACCCACAGCCACTGGTTGCTGGTTGACAGAGGGTTCTTGGCCGAAGGTGGGGACCGTCGGTAAGTGACGAAGTGTCCAGAGTGCATGTCTCCATGGTGGACGACAACTGCCATCAGGCGGAACAGGTACGTGGAGGAGCTGACGGGTGGGAGAAACGCCGGCTGTTATGACGGAACCAGGCCGTGTAGGCGAAGGCAAACACGAACCCCGCCCGGTGTGCTACACTGGGAGGTGAGTGTGATGGTGCAGACGCACACTCTTGGATGCAGCTCTCCGCCTGCGGCACAGCAGCGTGCACTCGGCTACCATGTACACAGCATGCAACACGCTTCCAACAGGGAGGGGGAGGACTGCCGAGCTGCGACCCCAGGGACCAGAGCGCCTCACACTCTACACACGTGCACACACACATGCAGATTTCATACACTTCCATAATTTTCACTTCACATGAAGTAACAATGTTATTCTACCTTGAAATGAAAGAGAAAATTACTCTGTATTTTCATTTGTTCTGGTGAAAAGCTTGTTTCAGACACACACTGGGGACAGCAGAAGCAGTGAGCGGACAGCGGGCCCCTCAGCCCCTCCTCACCTGTAGTCGGGAACCACCGGCAGAGAGAAGGCCATCGGGGAGTGCAGGGCTGGCAGCAAAGACGGGGAGCAGGCGCCGTTCATGAAAATCTGGGTCTTGGGGGCCCCCGGCTGACTCAGACCTGGAAGACAGTCACGAAGATGGGCAACTGATCTGTGCAAACAACTGGTTGTGGTTTGTTTGGTTGCGGACAGGGTCATGCAGTGCAGCCCAAACTGGTTCGGAAATGCCTCCTCGGTGCAGGTATGGGCAAGCAGCACACGCCATCACCTGCAACTGCCCCCAATCCTGCCGTAGGAAGTCAGCTGACCACTGCACAGCCTGTGTGTGTGCCCTAAGAGCCCAAGGTGGGGACCCCAGCCCCTCCCTGTGCAGTGTCCCACAGCACACACCTGGCGTCGGGGCCGCTTGTGTGTCCTGTAGTCCCAGGGCAGACCCCAGGTCCTCACTGGCTTTGGGGCCAAGCTGACTGGGCTTGTGTCCCAGGAGGCGGTACTTGTAGAAGTCCATCATCAGGAACTCGTTGAACTGCACGTGCTCATGCCGCTTCAGGGGCGTGCCGTGGCTGGACCAGCTGAGCCGCTGCAGGTGGATGCAGAGACACTGGGGCAGCTGTGGGCGGAGAGCAGAGTGCGGGGCTGAGCGGTGTCAGGGGCCGACAGCCCCCCAACATGGCCGACCTCATGCACAGGCGGGCTCACCTTCCCTAGCTTCAACTGTTTAACGAACGTGGTCCTCTGGTGCTCCACCTTTTCCCCATTCAACGTTCCTTTTGCTTCAATCTGCAATAAAGCAACAGCACACGTCTGCGGACGGACGGCAGGAGCAGACACCTAGCGGAGCTGCAGGAGCAGACACCTAGCGGAGCTGCAGGAGCAGACACCTAGTGGAGCTGCAGGCCGACCTCAGACTCCTTGGTCACTAAAGGACAGGAGCCACGGACGGAAGACAGAGTGGAAACCAAAGCCAAAGCGTCTTCACTTAAACTGTGTCTTCACAGAGTCTAGGGAGAGAGGGCTCCAGAGACCCGTCTCAGCAGTTCAGAGCACCGGATGCTCTTCCAGCTTGGTTTGCCCCAGGTTTGGTTCCCAGCACCCACACGGCAGCTCACAACCACCTGCCACTCCAGTTCCAGGGGATCCCATGCCCTCTTCTGACTTGCGCAGACACCCACACTCACATGGTGTACGAACATACATGTAGACAAAGTAGTCACACACACAAATAACTCTACAACACAAATCCTGAGGGGTCCCCAGGCCCCTCTCCTCCCCATTCACAGCAGGAGGCTTAAGGAGTCTGGGTGACTCCCAACCCTGTACACTTGGCTCAGAAGTCTCACTTGAGTGGCTTCTGGGGACAATGCCAGATGCCTTGGAGCTCCCTGCCTCAGAACCACAGGCAGTTTCTGCTGATCCTGAGACTGGGGCAGGAAGTGGATTTCAGCTCCTGTGGCCCTGCCCAGAGACCCTGGAGGTGGAGCAGCAGTCAGATCTCTACATGGACACCAGAGGGCGCCCGTGAGCACTCCCGCCCGGCCGCTCCCCAGCATCACCCAAGGTTCCACCTTTCTCCAAACTAAGGCTTCCTCTTCTGGAGTGTACAGGGAAGCTCAGGAGGCCCTGGGAATTCACAAGGACATGCAAGGCTCAGGAGCCCCTACACCCACCCCAGGGGAGGACATAAATGGAGAGGTTGCTGGGAAAGAGGGGACCTTCAGTGAAGCTGCCTGCAGGTGAGCAGGAAGATCAGGAATGCAGCTCTCAGGGATCATCATTCATGCTGGTGTGTGTGTGCGTGTGTGCGTGTGTGCGTGTGTGCGTGCGTGTGCGCGCGTGTGTGTGTGTGTGTGTGTGTGTGTGTGCGTGCGTGTGCGTGTGCAGGAAGACCAGGAATTCAGCTCTCAGGAACCATCATCCATGCTGGTGTGTCTGTGTGTGTGTGCATGTGATATGTAGTTGTGTGGACTCATGTCAGGAATCATCCATGCTGTGGGGTGTATGTGTGTGTGTGTGTACGCACGCGCACGGGCGTGTGGTGTGTGTGATATGCAGCTGTGTGGACTCACCCCATCAGCCCCCCAAAGTCTATGTACTTCCTCTGGATTCAGAAGGAAGTCTGGCACAACTGAGAAATTGGACACAGATGATAGGAATGGAGAAGCTACAGACCGGAGTGGGTGTGTCTTAAGATTTTTTCTGTAAACACCGTGGAAGAAACAGAACTCGGCTGGGAAACAAACCAATGGCAGCGGCTGAAAGACGCCCTGGGCAGGGTAGTGGACGCTCGGGTGGCATGAGGCGCCACAGAAGCACCTGGTGTCGGCTGGGCGGCGGCACTGGGATGCGCACCTTTGTACAGTTGTCGCACACGACGTCCCGCACCGACTCGGAGGAGATGAAATGATGAAGGCAGTGGTCCAGGGTCAGTGGGTGCCCCTAGAGCAGGAGCGGACGGTTAGAACGCTCATGGGAGCGCCGTGCTGAACCAGCAGGCCGCAGGCCGCCTCCCAGGGCTGTGTTTGGAGCACACAGGCTAGAGCTCCACAAACACACCCCAGTCCTTCAACCCCATGCTGCTACTGCTGGCCGACTCACGAGGGGCAGAGCTGGGGGACCGTGCACCTACACAGGCCAGGGGGGGGCGGAGCTTTAGAGACTGTGCACCTGCACAGGCCTGGGGGGGCGGAGCTTTAGAGACTGTGCACCTGCATGGGGGGGGGCACGGAGCTTTAGAGACTGTGCACCTGCACAGGCGGCGG